TACATCTTTCTGATTCTGTCATTCTATAATCACAGTGACTGAGCCCACTTGAAATATAAAATAATAATACCTTTGCTGCCCTCTTCTGTGCCGGGAGACAGCAGCTGTCTTGAAACTAATTTCATAGGATCAATTAGCTTTGTTGGAAATACAAGGGATTTCTTCCCATGAAATCACTGCTTTATTTATAAATGTATATGCTGGGAGTAACTGTATGGGAATACGAAGAAATATAGGTTCAACGGAACCTCTGCTCCAAACTTGCTCTAGTGATGAAGTTTGTAGCCAATCATTTATTTATTTATTTATTTCGCAAATGAGTCTATGGCTGCACGCCAGATGACGGGCAATCAAAACTGATTGAAGGGATTCTGTGAGGACAAAATTCTCAAGTTAATCAACCTAGGCTGCTGCCTGTTATTTAGAGAGAGATTGCACAGCCCCATCTTTAAAGGAAAAAGACTGGCTGCCTAGCCAAGTGCACTATATTTTGAATTATGAGGGATATTGTAGCTTTCATGCAAATCATTGCGGCTCTTGTAAATGAACTTCTAACTAGGCTTCTACTTCTTAAGAAAACAGTCAGAGCATGCTCCACAATTGGAGAGATAAAATATTTCATATTTCAATTACCTTGTTCAAATCAAAACTCTTCTTTAATTTTCTCAAAATCAAAATGCCAAAAATGGACAGACAAGTACAGATAGTCTTTGACTTACAACCGCAATTGAGCCCAAATTTTCCATTGCTAAGCAAGGTAGTTTTGCCCCAGCTTATGACCTTTTATGACCTTTTGCCACAGTTCTTATGTGAATCACACAGTCATTAAGTAAATCCAGCTTCCCCCATTGATTTTGCTCATTGGATGCCGGCTGGGCAAGTTACAAATGGTGATCACATGACCCTGGGACAACACAATTGTCATAAATACATGATCATGTGACCATGGGGATACTGCAACAGTTGTAAGTGTGAAAACCGCTCATAAGTCACTTTCTTCAATGCCATTGTAACTTTTAAATGATCACTTAAAAAAAGGTGTGTCAGTTGAAGACTATCTGCATGCTACAAGTATAACTCCAGTGACTCTCTTGCAACTGAATGAGGATACGTATAGCCTTTTGCTGACTTGGAAATGGGTAAATTCAAAGTAGTTGATGGAGCCAGAAAAAACACGCACACTGGTTTTATTTAAATTTAAATATAGGTGTTCCTTATATTTTGGCACATTAAACATTTTACTACAACAGCACATTTTAGAGCATCTATGAAGGTATTGTTTTTAAAACTGTACTTTGACTATATTTATGTAGTAACTGCATTTTTCCTTCCCTCCCTCTTACATTCTATGGAGTTTGAGCACTCTTGAGTTTCTTCCCTACATTTCCTTTGTTTTCCAGGGTTCAGCTTCACATAGTTTCTCCAAGGTCATTTCTAAAACCCTCTACAATCTGCAGTCCCTGTTCAAAATATAGAAGCGTTTATACAAGTGCTTTCCCTATCTCCCACTTGTTTTAACTTCCCCTAATAATTCATTGTAGCATTTCACATTAATTCAACATGAATAAAGAAAAAACAATGAACACTGGCCTTACTGCAATGCCAAGGATAAGTGAAACTGAGTTTCAGTTACATCACTGATTTATAAACTGCATTTTAAATAGATTGAAATCATGAGTATTATGCTGAGAAGGTTCCCCACTCATGTTTACCAAATAAGAATTAAATATAAAAGATAACAGTTGCCATTGGATAAGAAAGTGGATTATAGGAGAATGGATTCTTTTCTTTCCAGTCCTATATGAATAAATGACTCTCTTTTCCTAAGGGCTTAAAGGGTTTTGATCCATGCATGTGGAACTTGTTCTTATCGTACATGGTATATAGTTTTTGGCTTCCCTCAAAAGATGTTTCTGATTGCCCTTCAAAACTGATTGGAAATAAGGTAAGAACTTCCTTGAATCAAACTCAGCTCCTGGTGATCCTACAGACATGTCTGTATAAATTGCTTCACAACAATAAAAATGTGGTTTGCCATTCTTTAAGGGTAAGTGTTGACTTCCCAACCTACCCAATAGCCTAGAGCAGGGGTGTCAAACTCGCAACGTCACGTGGCATGTCGCGACGTTTTGCAACTTTTTTTCCATTGCCAGCAATGGAGTGGGCGCAGTTTCAGCATGATGGGTCCAAACTGCGGGCTGGCAGTTTGACTCCCCTGACCTAGAGCTTTTCTAATCAAATGACCTCCCAACTAAGTCCTAATCTTGGTTTTTTTCTAGTATCAATCAAAGATTGCTATGTGCTGCCACCTGCTGTGATTCCTGGATATTGCATCTAATAATTGAAAAAGAAAAGGTTTAGAACGAATCCATAACATCAGTGCTTGAGATGCTGTATAGAAATCCAGCATGCACAGCATGTCTTTTAAAAATCTAAACTTTTCAAATCCAATAGTCTGAATGCTATAGGTATTTTAATTTAGATGACCAGGCTGTGAAGATTTGGATGATGGCCTAAATACTCCTTTCCAACTCCATAAATCTGTGATCTTAAGGTACTAAATTCAGCCTATGATAAAGCTGCTAACTGTCAGGAGCTCCAGAATCAACTCCTTATTATGATTTTTTTTGCTCAGAGCTGTTCTGACGGTATAGCATTGAGAGGATAACTCTCCGTTAAGCTCCTCAATGAATATCTACATTTCCTGAAATAAAAGAGTAATTATTAATTTTACAATAGTTTTATATTGCCCGTTCACTTTTGTCTACTGGCAGTGTATATAAAATATAAACATATATAAGGAGTAGAATACTAGAGATCAAATACAGAAACCAAAGTTTTCACCAACTTGCAGAAGACTATAGACTGCCAGGCAAATCCTGGAGGCTTGGATCTCAAAGCATGGGAAACGCCACCAAGAATGGCTACCTCCAAGCAAAGTTCCTTGATTTCTCATAAGAATGAGATGTTTATAAGGATGGGATCCCTGGACACATGCATAAACTGGGAAGATTTTACCCAGAAGAGACAATCTCTATGTATGCTTGAAGTCTTTAAGTGTAAGGCTTTAAAGGTCAAAACAAGAATACTGAATTGGATGCCCAGAGGTCTTTTAGTAACCAATACAGTGTATTAAGTATAGGTGCAATACTAACATAATAGCAATTTGCAGTCTAATCACTGCATTTTGCACCAACCAAAAGCTTCCAAATTATTTCCAAAGGCAACAAGAGCTGTAAGCCAGAAGGACCCAATTTATGAATCAGTTCTTTAGGGAGAGGATGAGTTTATCCATAGTTACAGTTAGAACCAATAGAATGGTTCTGTGTTTTGGACAAACAACATTCAATTTAATTTTAGTCTGATCTTGTTTCTCCCCATCCAGACCTTCATGACACTAAGACAGTAAGTTACAGTCTTGCTCAGCAGCTTTAAAAAAGTTATAAATGTGACAGTGATGGTTCTTCTCCATTTCAGCTGAGCATCAATATATTGTAGAATATATATACTGTAGATTATTTTCTGACTTCAGATATAAACGTACTTTCAAAAAAATCAAAATTAAATTAAGCAGAGTGACTAAACTCACAATTTATATTATAGGAAGATGGACAGTGACATTTTCTGTGATGTGTGACAAAGTTCTTCATGCTGTGAGAAGCTTTGCATGCGTCACCTCTCCCAACGCATCTGTGATAATCAGCATATCCCCTTTTAATTGCATGCTGGTTTGACTTCCTTGGAGGAATATTCTAATTTTATGTGCAGCGCATTCCTTTCTTCAAAATGTAAATACTACTTTCTGTTCACCCATCAGTTGTATGCAAATTTTTTCTTGCATTATCTAGGTTATTTCCTTTGGCATTTTGCTAATTCTACTGATTGGCTGGAGTGATCTCATATGTAAATTCACCAAGCCAAACTTCTTGGATGTATATTTTCATATTTAAACTCCTTCATCTGTGACTTGGTTTTAGGAATTCTCAGGTGTGTTAGATACAGTTAATACTGTATGCTGACGCTTCCTCTTTCTCCCACACCAAAAATCAAGAAGGGGTATTGATTTTTTAAAAAGATGTGGCTCCCTTTCTTGGCCACAGCTAAAAATATTTCTATTTATCAGATCAATTCAACAATAGGACTCACATCCAGTCTTGTGAACAGGAATGGAAAAATGGGTCATTTTCACTGGTTAAACCAGCTACCTGGCATCTGCCAAGTCATATTGCATTTCATAGGCTATGTGATTTTAGGCTAGCTTCAGCAGTACAGGTGAGTGTGCATGGCAGTTCTCCCTATGATGGATAATCTTGGTCGTTATTTTGTGTGTGTGTGTGTGTGTGTGTGCAAGAAGCAGATTATGTACCAATCTGAAGTGATGATTTAAAAAGGCATTAAGAGTCATGGATATATTGATAGGGAAGACCATTTAAGCATTCTGAATGGTACAGTTCTAGAAAAATGGAGCACATGGCTTTCAAAACTACTGAATTTGTTCCAAATGAGACAAATGTACTTGTAAGAACTGCTGAATTATAAAACCTGGTGCTCCTAAACATTGGCTATGCTAGCCAAGGACATTTGGACTTAAGAGTTCAACAAAATTTTGGGAGATCACATGTTCTTGTTTTATACTACACAAAGCATTGGTGAAGAGGGAAGGCAAAGAAATAGTTAAGTTTCACTCAATGTATTCTTGTAGCTTGTTCTTGGCATTAACTAGAGAACTATGTGGCATAAACTATGGTGTTTTGTTTTGATTTCTTTAAAACCCTGCATCTTTTGCTTCTCTTTACTGCCCCTCTCATCAGAATTGCTATTTAAGACCACTATTATATTAGCCTACTGTATTTTTAAGGTGCCTTTTGTTAGAGGCAAGCTGCTTTAATTTACTCCATGATTAAAAGTTTTTATCAGACCCAACCAGAAACTTAGCTGCTGAAGCACAGTGCCTCAGCCGTCATACGGAAGAAGAAGTAGGTTTCTAAATCAATGTTTACCTGACAGTGTCCGCAGCAGTAATAGCAATTAGAGGAAGGGTTCTCAGTGGAAGGTTGGTGGGCCTCTGCACCATCTCTGGATCAGTCTTTTTCTCCCAGTCTACCTGCTCCAGCTGTCTAAATGCCAAAGGAGGAAGCTGGAGGTTACGACAGGATAATCTCCTAACACGATACTGGTCCGTTCCTTGGAGAACCGTTTCTTCTTCATTTTGATGGTACAGTGTTTCTTCTGATGCCTACAATGACAAAGATTATTTGAATAAGTTTCTGTCACGAAATTGTTACATGTAAATTTCATGTAAATCCTTGTATTTTAGTTTTTTTCAAAAAATAATATGAAAAAGGAAAAAGTAGAACCTGATTCTTTTCATACTGAGGGGTCCTTGCTGTTCTCCGAACTTGGGTTTTTTTTTCCTCACAGATGTTTCATTACCCAAATTAGGCCACCTCATGAGGGTACCTCAGAGAGCACCAGGCACCCATCATTTCAACCTGAGCTACAAATATTCTCCTTGATCTTTTCATACATTTTGGCAGTGCTGGAGAATTTACTATAGAATATATTTGCTCACATTAAGCAATTATATTAAGCACAGTACACAGTCTGAAAGCGTTCTCAGGAGCCTCCTTCAACCAAGCTCTGAAATTCAGCAACAGAGTACTAAGAATCAATAGCATGGTTTCCAGTTTTAAGAGTAATGTCAATGTTTTAAGCTTTAGACGCGGATTTAAAACATTAAAATAACCTTGAATAATGCTAAAGGCATGTGAAAAGAAGGAAGAGAAAAAATCTAATTTCCGCACTGCTCACTTGTAAAATGCAATTTCATTGATTGTGCCTCTCTAGGGCAGGGCTTTTCAACCAGTGGTACGGGTACCACCTGTGGTACATTGGCACCTGGCAGGTGGTACGTGACCATCCTAGAAAAGTGGTAGCAGGGGAGGGGAATGAGCTGAACCGGTGGCAGCACCACACAAGCCTGAGCGAGAGATGGCTGGAGCTGCAGGGCTGTCAGGGCTCAGCGGAAGCGCAAGGATCAGCGCTTCTTCGGGGCTGTCAGGGCTCAGTGGAAGCGCCAGGATCAATGCCAGGCTCCAGCTGGAGCTCGGCGCTGATCCTGGTGCTTCTGCTGAGCCCAGAAGAAGCGCCGATCAGCTGGAATGTTGCAGCATCTCCAGGGTCTTGTGGTGTACATTCAGATGCTTGGCAACTGATTCATATTTATGACGGTCACAGTGCCCCAGGGTCATGTGAAGTGACCAAAATCTGCTGCAACCACCCAGCAGATGGGAGGAATAAAAACCAAACACCCCCCCATCCCACCTCCACTGTCAATCCTCAACAGAAATGCTCACAACAATGGAAACCCCAGAGAGGAGGAAGAGCACCGCCGGGTGGGCAGGCAGGTGAATTGCTCGGCTGTGGCTTGGGGGGCACTTTTTTCGGTGCCATTGTAACTTCGAACAATCACTAAGCAAACTGTTGTAAGTCGAGGACTACCTGTACTTTATCACTTTTTTCCTTTTTTTTTTTTTGGGTCATCAAGTTTTTGATACCTTGCTAGGCGACTGGTGGTACTTGGATATTGCCATATCCTAAAAGTGGTACAATGGGTGAAAAGGTTGAAAAGCCCTGCTCTAGGTATTACAACTGGTCCCTTGGAGACCACTTAGTCATAGAGGTTGCAAATAACAGCATATGCTAGGAACCACTTTTCTTTTTTACAATTGCTAATTAAAACGTATTTCTAAAATCATCAAAATAAACTAATATACTAAAGAATTCACAGGAATAGATGGCATCCTTGGAGATTACGTTGACATGATTATTGTTCATCTAGACGAGGTTTATTTTACCAGCAATCTGATGAATAAATGAGTCACAATCTGAAGCCCATACCAAGGCCCATGATGGCTAAATTAGTTGATTCATTCTCCAGAAATGAAGCTGAAATAAGAGAATTTCCTCCTGCATAAGAAACTTCAACTACTGGACTGTGGAGTAAACAAATTAGCATTTGAACTGAAAGGATCTCCATATAGCAACACACTAGTAGTAGACAATGTAAGAGGAGGAAGTACAGTATATCAGAAATATGCTTGCACTTTTTCCAACCAATACATTTCATTAAAAGGCATAAATGCTGATGGAGAAAAATTACTCAAAATGGCAAATTTTCTTCCACACTATAATTCTGTTGCATGAAATGAACCATTCTTTCTTATGCCTTCTTCAGGTTTATGATATAGACAAGGCTTTTTTTCTCATAGAACACCCAGAACGGAGTTCCGGCACCTTTTTTGGATGGAACCTTGTAGGGTAGGCAAGGCGGGTTGTATGACATGTGTGAGTTCTGGCACCTTTTTTTTTTTTTTTTAGAAAAAAAAGCACTGGATATAGATATTGATAAAATGGGAAGAATGCTGATATACAGAATGTATCTCTCTCCCAATAAATACAAGCACTAAGAATATCTTTCCTTCTACTGAATTGAGATTTAACTTTCAATGCAACTTTGCATGGAATTCTCACAGGAAGGAACAATCTACCATTTTTACTTGCATACCTAACACTTGCCTAATATATGGACATTCTCCAGTGGTGGGATTCAGCCGGTTCGCACTGGTTCGGGAGAACGGGTAGCTAAATTTACCTGAATTTGGAGCACCGGCTGGCTTCTGGAAGTCCAGTCTAGGTCTCGGAGGCCTCCCAGGCCTAGAAGGGCCCACCAGAAGTGCATGGATACCACTTCCGGAAGTCCGTTCTAGGCCTGGAGGAGGCATCGGAGGCCTGGAGAACTCCCAGGCCTAGAAAGGCCCACCAGAAGTGCATGATGCCACTTCCGGAAATCCGTTCTAGGCATCAGAGGCCCAGGCCTGCATCACATAATAGAATAGGTTGTTCAGGTATTTGAATCCAACCACTGACATTCTCCATATATTAGCATTCTACATACCAGATAGCCTAGCACTACGGAATATCTTTTTCCTCTGAATTAATGTTAGGCAAGGGACAAGATGGAAATCACAATAGTTTAGTAGATGAAATATCACATTTTATCAGTTTGAACGACACAGCTGGCCTTACATTCTGTGAATTGGTTTGTTGATAAAAAGCAATAAGTGGTGTTTGCTTACATAACTTCCCACTGAGACTTACTTTCTTTGTTTCACACTGCTGTTATGATCCATGACAGCTGGAAAGTTGATCTTACCCAAACATTAAAAAATAAAAACAAATCACAGCCATTCATTAACTGCAAAGAGAATTGTTTCCTATTCTTATTCCAAATAATTTCTTCAAGATAAAATACTTGTTTCTTTTGAATCTTTTGTGAAAATATGAGATTTCTGATTTACAGCATGCAGGCTCTAATAGTTGGCATTGTTCATGATTCTGTTCATATGCCCAGTTGATTATCTGCTTTTTCAAGAAATTTAGCTAGACAAGCAATTCAACGAGACTAAAGATATTAAAGGGTGTTGTTTGTGTATGTGTATGTGTGTCTCTGTCTTTGTGTTTGTACTTGTATGAGACAGTGTGTTTGTATTACAGAGGGATCAACCAAAGCAACTCTTCACATGACCTTTGTTCTACATGATAAAAGAAGGTGTCTAATTTCCCTAGATTTTGAGTGAACCTTTTCTAATTAATCAGATTGTTCCTTGTCACTTCTATGTTTTCCTTGTTTTTTAAAAATACGTAGATAATGTTTGTTTTTCAATTGTTCAATCATCTCCAATCTTCATGTCTCAATGGTTATAATAGCTAACCTTCTTACCTCATATTGGCCTTTTCCCCCAATTGGTTTCATTTTTAGACATATCAGGGTCTGCTCTAACACCTCTTGCCTTTACATAGTATGCATAGAAAATACAGGTAGTCCTCGACTTATGACCACAACTGAGCCCAGAATTTATGTTGCTAAGTGAGAAATTTGTTAAATGAGCTTTGTCCCATTTTATGATTTTTCTTGCCACATTTGTTAAGTGAATCACTGCAGATGTTAAATTAGTAACACGGTTGTTAAGTGACTTTGCTTGTCAGAAAGTCATAAAAGAAGATCACGTGACCCCGGGACACTGCAAACATAATAAATATGAGTCAGTTGTCAAGCATCCAAATAAAATCACATGACCATGGGGATGCTGCAATGGTCATAAGTGTGAAAAATGGTCATAAGTCACTTTTTTCAGTGCCTTTGTAACTTCAAATGGTCACTAAATTAACTGTTGTAAGTCAAGGACTACCTGTATTTTATTTACCATGTTTCCCCAAAAGTAAGACCGGGTCTTATTTTATTTTATTTTGCCTCCAAAAGAGGCACCAGGTCTTATTTTCTGGGGATGTCTTTTATACTCACCTCCAGCACCGACAGTCCTACCCAGCCGGTCTACTTCTTCTGTGGCTGAAGGAGAGGCTTCATTCTGCAGCTACATTCTGCCTTGCATTTTGCAGTCAGGCCTTTCCAGAAGGCTTAGGCAGCCGAGTACCAAGCTATGGAATCCATAGCTCGGTTCTCAGCTGCAGAGGTCTTGCAGAACTGAGCTATGGACTGAATCTATAGCTCGGTTCTCGGATGCAATGGCCTTCTATAAAGGCCTGTGACTAAAAATGCAGGCCTGGCTGCAGAAAACGCCTCACAATAAGTAGGCCAGCGAGGTAAGTGGATGTGGAGCATGTGGGGCAGCTCCACCCCCCACCCCCACCCTAGCTTGATTTTTAGGTTTGTGCCTCGCCCCCAAACAAGGGCTTATTTTTGGGGTAGGGCTTATATTAGACCCACCCCCCAAAATAAAGCTAGGACTTATTTTCAGGGTAGGCCTTATATTCGGGGGAAACCCTGTAGTTTGACTCAGTCTTTCATCCTTCCGAGATCGGTAAAATGAGGACCCAGATTGTTGGGGCAATACACTGACTCTATAAAGCATTTAGAGAGGGCTGTAAAGCATTGTGAAGCAGTAGATAAGTCTAAGTGCTATTGCTATTGCTATTTATTATTGCTGCTAATGAGAAGTTTGGTTTTACTTCTATTGAATTATTTGTTCTTCTTGCAACTCAAGGTATTATCAGCAACTTATTCAAACACCACAATTCAAAGTCATCCATTTCTGTTTGTTAACTCTTTCTAATTGTCCAGCTTCACAGATATGTTACAACTACGTTAATGGTCCTGAACAAGGTATATTTTTGTTCATAATAATATCTCTGCACTTTAATATTTTTCCTAGATGT